TTTCTGTAAAGACAAACTTCATGTAAGAATGTTTAGCAGAAAGGCAGGGCATGTATGGAAAGGGATTCAAGCCAGAATAAAAATAAGGAAGAAAATGCAAAGGGAAACATTTAGGGTAGAATGGGTTAGCTCTAAGTTGTGAGGACTATGAAAAATCCTTTTCTCATACCTTTCCTTAAGCAACTATTTTGGATTGTCTCATATCCAGAACTTTTTCTCACAGCCTGGAAGTTTAGACTTTCAAGCATGTTTTGGTATTTCTCTGAGAAATAAAAGCTCATGTTCTAAACCTTACATTTCTACTAATTTCAAAGGTTTGCATTTTAGTTGACTTATGACTGCAGGATTTTTTACTACCTGAGATGCCACTTATGTTTTTGGTTTGTTTTCTTCTTAATATTACATCTGATTTGGATAGCTTTCTTGTCTTTAGCTATTCTGACTATGCCTTCATCCATGCTAGGACAAAATCATGCATTAAGTTCTCTTTAACCTTAGTCTTATCACCTGCTTATTTAGTCAAACTTTTGTAAATATTTGCTTTTTCCAGCCTTTCTCACTTTTCCTTGATACTTCTTCTAGAACTCTTTCTATTCCTTTAACACCACTTCTGAAAAACTCCTCAATGACCTTTTGTTTCTTTTTATTTCTCCTCAGTAAGAAATATATATTTTTTTATACTCTCAGAAGAGATTCTTTACTTCCGTATGTGGGGAATTGTTTTTCTGAGTTATCATCTATGCCAAATAACATTAAAATATTCAGTGGTTTCAGGTGTTGCTATGACAATGCAGACCTATTGAATTTAAATCTCTGGCATGTACAGGGCAATTAGAACTCATCTTTGAGCCCAGTGAATTTGTAGGTTAGTGAGAATTTTAGAAGCTATAATAAGGGCATGCTGACACATGCCAAAGTCAGTGACATGCAGAGCATGGACATAACACGAAATGCGGTACTGAATGCCATTCTATTTTGATTTAGGTCATGAAAGTTTCCTCTTTGTTTAATTTTATCATCCATGAGTTGCACAATTGGAAACTGGGATAAAAAATAGGCTAATATTTATTGGTTCAGGCCAAAATTAATTTCAGGAAACGCTTATCTAACTCTCTGTTACTTAAGAGTGGTGTGTGTTGTCAAAAATCTAGAGACAAATCATGCCCAAGATTAGGTTTTAACATATATAAAAGTAAGTTTCCCATGAAAGTATGAGAATTTTGCTTCTTAACAAAGAAAATATGATGATCAGTAAACAATATTAAGAATGCTGAGGCCTTCAAATCTACCCATGTACTAATAATAATAGTAATAATAATAGTAATAGTAATAATAATAATAATAATAATAATAATAATAATAATAATAATTTATTAAAAGCATCAGAATACAACGGCTTCAAGAAATATAAATATTATGGCAATGATTCATATGCATCTTGAAGTGCATATTTTGATACATGTAAATGTATAAAAATATTTTTAGTTACTTTTATATATATATTGTAAAAGGTGCATGTATAACCTTGTAAATAGTATAAGCAATAAGGTATTGGTAGAGGTTTATATCAGTTGTTTTACTAAGTAGCATGGGTTGGATATAGGGCTTAAATAGACACAAAGCAAATAAATTATTTGCTTCTGCACAGGGGAATCTCCTATTTCCTTCTATTTTAAGAAATTCTTTCCATGAGCCAACAGAAAAAAAAATAACATAGATAAATTATATCCCATGTGAGTATGAGGGATATGCAAGAAATAAATCTAAAATATTGATTAAAACCGAGAAAGAAACCTTTTCTTTTGGTTCATATTTTAAATTATTTTTGCCTAATACAATCTAGGTCAGCTTGTAAACAGAAAATACAAAATGAAGAAAAAATGTTTCTGCATTTCTGATGAGAAATATTTTAATACCTTCAAAGGAACATATTCAAGGTATTTTAAAAGTTTCCCTTTTCTAGCAATAGTTCTTTCATTATTTCAGCTCAAATTCCTATGGCTTTGATCTTATGAAATTTATCATTTTTCACAAATTAACCACTGATAATTAAGAAGAAAAAGCCCTTATCTGCTATGTATAGATCATCTTGCTTCATCACATATAGCAAATTGACCAATTATACTATTTAAAAACTCTTTTAAAAAGCCTTTTTGTGTTTCCTACAGTTCTGTAGTTTCTGTCTAATAATAGCAGTAGTTACCTTCTCCATGAGATAAGTTTGTTGTTTGGGAAAGAAAAAGTAATTTTATGAATAGGATTCACTCACAGATGTAAATGCCACTGTGACAGGCCATCAGTAAATCTGAAAGGAAGCAAATTCTCCATATGCTATTATAATAATACACTTTTTCTTGGAGGGATGAGCATTACAATGTGGAGTGTTACAATGAGTTTATAGTAGATGTTAAAGGTATCAGAAATATGGCAAAGAAAAATTATGATAAAGAAGCTGCTTATCAAACCTAATTTATCTCAAAACATTGAGGAAATAATCTACGTGTATAGACTTTTGCATTTGCAGCAGCATACTGCAGTCTCTTTTCAGATGCAGATCAGACAGAGAATAACAATAAGAAAAGTAAATAAGAACTGTAAAACAGATTTAGGCATTCAGTTTTACTAATAGATGGGTGTTGGTTTAAAATCTGTCTTGATGATCGTTAGTAACTCCTTGACATTTCTACCACATTATTTGATTTCCAAAGACCGCTAAGAATCTCTATTGTCTGAAAATTTTCTTCTACGTGGTGTGGAGAAGGCTGTAATTATCAACTTTTCAAGTTGAGAAAATAATTATCCAAATATATTCTTTTTAGACAAACATAAAGTCATTTATGCTAATGAACTTAATAAAAAAACTGTGATGAAACTAGACAAAACAACTCTAAGCTATACACTGACAAAAGTTTATTCTTCAAAGAAAGCCATAGTTTCTTGATGGATGTTCCTAAACAGATTTTAATTGTCCACCTGCTGAAAAGTTTTAGTTAGGTCTGAGGGATTTGGGTGTTATGAAACCAGAAATATTTTTGGCTTGGCTAAGACACATGAATTCAATGCAATAAATGTAGCTAAGAACACTTTTGTCTTTATGATTATGAAATGGCATCTGAAACCATGGAGAAATAAATCTTAATATTCCTGTAAATTAGATTATAAATCACAATGATAAGCTGCTGAAAAATATGGAATGGAAGAATAAAATCATTTAACATTTATACCATTCAGTTTCCTTTTAAGTTCAAGGTAAAACCTCATTTAGGCAATGGAGTACTTTCAGAAACCTAATTTCTATAATTTATAATTTACATAATTTAAAAAATATTTTGGAAGTCCTTTTTCTGCCGTGCTGTAGCCATCAGAAGTTCACAAATCAGCACCTGAAAAGCACTTGTGTATGTCATAAAATAATTCATGATATTTAGATTCTTCCCCAGTACAAAGAACTGCAGAACCTTCTATCAACTTCTCCCTACAAAGCATCAAAAAAAAGGAAAGAAAACGCCCTAGCAGTAGCAGACATAGATATTTTTCTATTGCTCCTATCTATATGCATCCCATGTAATTTTTTTTTTCATATCGCTATCTAAATGTTTGCTGAATAAATTTTTTTCTCTCTTTTTTTGTTTTTATTTTCTTTTCCATTTCTTTTTTTTTTCCATTTCTTTTTTTTTTCCTTTCCCTGTTGAGTCAGTGACATGCAACAAACAAATGTTTCACAGGCACTATCTCAGCGACTTTCTTTGCATCTAAATGTGGCACCTTGGTTTTAAAATGGTAATATGGTGCTGTTCTCTGTACTTAAAAAATGCAATAGTTAAAATACTTTTAAATTCTCTTGTTCCATTGCTTGACAAAATTTATCTGGCTTTTCTGGGCCAAATTCATTATACATCTAATACTTCATTATATTCTTGGATAGCTATGACCACTTTGCTGAGGAGGAAAAAACAGTGTTTTCTTCAATCTACTCACTCTAGACGTTCTTGTTATTAACATATTTCATCTTACAAAAAGTCTTTGTTCAGGTAAAGTGGAACTGGGTCCTGTCATTATATTACTAAGTTATAAACAGATTAAAAATTTTGTCTCCCTCCCTTATGTGCTATACAATAATTCTACAACTGAACACAATCATAATCTGAATTGTTTCCTAGTTCAGTACAGTTTTTATCCTGTCATTTTCCCTATTCAGCATGTGAGCATGTTTTCTACAAAAGCATTGCATTAGTACTTCCCTTTCAAGAGAAATCTCTGCACTACTGTGAGAAAGCACAGCTAGGAAAGTATCATAGCCCTGCATTAAGGTCGATGGAGGATCTTGAGCATAGGGGAGTGAGAAGCAGAAAGACTGTCAGTAGAACAAGAATTGCTTTGAGTAAAGATACCAAGTTATGTGTCTTAACCCTTTTATAATGGGGTTATATGAACATATTGAGTATTTTGGAGTACAGAAAAGCCATACAATACCCCCCCCCAATAATAGCAACATAACAGATTTTCTTTTCTTCCCTCCGTACATGAAGCTGCTAAACATACCCAAAACATGAATGAGTCTGTCATGACAAAGTAATTTTAACCAGTTTCACATAATTTAAAATATTTAAAGGTTTTGTTTTCTTTTTATTTTATTAAACATTTGTCATCAGTCACTAAGAAGATTTTCATATTAAACTCTCATTACAGAAGCATTAACAGAAATGTGCAGATTCTCAAGTACCTATATTTCAGTATTAGTACAGTTGGATGCATTAAGTGCTAGTGTCAGAAAGCATCACTAAGCAGATAAGTTTATATTAGTATATTCTTAAATGCTTAACATTTTTCTTTCTCTGTGTCATAAAAGGCAGTCATAGAATCCCACATATAATCTGGTTTTTCTTTGTTACCTTTCAAAATATGTTAATATCTACCTGCATGGTGGGTTTTGAGGCTGGGGAGTTTTTGGTGGTCAAATTCAGTGCATTTTTTGCTCAGTGATTGTTTTTGTCCTTTAGACTTGAATCTCCTACTAGATCTTTGGTGATGGAAGCACCCAGAGGAGTGCAAGTCAACGCAGCTGCAGGAGACTTAAAGGCTACCTGTAGGAAAGAACTGCACTTGCAGTCCACAGAAGGGGAGGTAAGTTCAGCCAGCAGAGAAATGTTCTACAGCTCTGCCCAGCATAACACAACCAATGTGAGGAGGGTTTATTCAGCAGCAAGGTAAACGACATGAAAAGTATTCTGCATTTGCCTTTGTTAAAGTAATTTTGGTTTAGCTTGTTCAGCTATTAATACTTTTCTCCTATTTTACAAATATTTGAATCCGTAAGTTTCATTCACACTGAAAATAAACTTAGTTGATACAGATCAGAATTACTTGTAAATTAAGAATCAAAGAAAAATCTTCCATGGAAACAGAGTTGGTTACATGATACTGGTAAAAATAACTTGGATTAATCTGTCAAAATAAAACAGAGAAGTTTGGATTAATTTAGATTAATGCATCATTAAACCATGAATAAGAGGTTTATCAAATTTGCTCTACCTGTGGTTTAACTCCTTCATCTTTTACTACCTCTGTAAGAGACACAGAGTACTTCCATCATAAATTCTCTCCTGTTTCATTAGTGTCGTGTTTCAGAGATCACTGATAATTAATTGACATAAAACGACTTTGGTAAAAATTCTTCATGTGTAAACCTGTGTGAACACATGCAAATGATTCAAAATTGAGTCACTTGTTGTAACTATAATCTATACATTTCAGAAATGCATGAAAGATTGCTGGTATGGGAGTCCTTTCATCTTTAGACCATGAAATGATATAACATTAAAAAGAAAAAGCAAAGATCTTGTTGAAGGCTATCAAGAGCTCTCAGGTTTCTATTAAGCACTTTGGAGAAATTGATAGATTTTCAAATTGTTCTCAGAGGGGTTTGCTACAGTACAGCACTTTTGGAAGTTTGTAATGTAAATATTTCACTGTGAATGAAGCTCTTTAGAAATTTTTTGCCTTTTGTGTTTGTGTTTTGTATTCTCTACCAAATGTTTCTAGACTTTTTACATACTATCCAACATAGACAATACCAAAAAAAAACCAACATTCACATCTGTGGCAGATAGTTCCCTGGAATGCACACTCTGCATTACAGTGCAGACAGGAACATTTTGGCCAATATAGTGCATCAAAATAACATTTTGGTAACATTTTTTTATTGATGCAAGTATCTGTACAGCATAATTAAAGCACTATGTTTTCCTAATTCAGAGTCTCAAATATTTACATACCACATGCCCCACCTTATTTTTGAGTTTCTCCAAAATCAGCTCTTTCCCCAGTCTCTCATCTTTACTTACCGCCTCTCTTACTGTTTCCTAGCGTTGCTGAGATAGAAGTAAAAAAATCGAATCCTCTTTTAATAGCAGATATTGTCCTACCTCATCATTGTCCCTTCTGTGAGTATTTTTGAGTCTAGAGCTCCCAGTAACCTGTCTTGTTTCCCTTTCATAAGTCCCTACCTGGCCAAATCTACTGTGTTTCCTAAATTTATAGGCATAAATTTTACAAATAGAATGTATTTCTTTGTTCTTTCTCTTTTTAATAGTGCCAGAGGGGAAAAGTAAAACTTGAATTAAAATTAAAGTTAAAAAAAGAGAAGCCAACAGAAAGACTGTTACCATTCCTTACTCTCCCATTATTCTTTAGGCAATGCTTGTTTCTATATTCTCTTTGTTTTGCGTCATACACCTCTTCATGCAAATATTTTATCTATGGATCCGTCAGGTTTTTTTTTTCTAGATCAACATTGCGATTTAATTGCATGACTTCTCATTTTTCTTATGTATTTACTATATCTTGTTGGAAAAGTAGTTTTGGAAACAATGTCCTATGACCTCAGTTGTACTTTGACAATGGAAATCCAAGAAAAAATATAATGCCTATATTATGTTTTATTCAGAACTGGAATTCAATTCAGTATTAAATGTTTTGTAGAAAAAAATGCTAGTGAAAATCTGACTTTTCTGACCTTCTTATTGAAAATTATTATTTTCTCTGTGATAAGACTATGCACATCTGTGATTTCCTACAAAGATGTTAGATTGAAAATTATCAGAAAACAAATTACCAACCTTTCTCCAATCTTCCCAATGAAGTGTTCAATAAATATACATTTGACAAAGTTCAAAGTCTTTAATGCTTGCAATTTCAATAAGATCTGAAATTAACTGCAGTGAAAATCCACAGAGAAATTCTATTCTGCAGTCTGACCAATGCCTCGACAATCCACTGTTGAAGCTCTTCCACTGGAGAGGTTCAGAGGAAAATGCAGAAACACTTAGGAAGGCACATGACAGGCACCAGAGCATTAGCTGTTGTGCAAAGTTACTATGGCCCCGTTAGGGAATTGCTGGATTAATTGCAGCCTGGTAAGAGGAACCAGGGTAAACATCTGATGGATTAAATATCTACACAACAAAATATTGATTGCTTTTCCTGCTTACAGCCCAACAGATAAACCACATTAGCAGACAGTACAAAAGAATGCTTAAAGGTTTTATCATTATTCATTTTTAAGAAAACACATTCTAAAATGACAAAGTATCTGGATTAAAAATAATCATTTTAGCTTAAGAATTGAATGCCTTATAAGTCAGGTTTCCTCCACAAATAAAGTGTTATCTTTGTGAATTGGATCTGTGAACCATTTTCACAATAAGACAATTTGTACTAGAAAGACATGCAAAGGTTTTTGTACCATTTTTATTCTAGTTAGTGAAATTTAATTTTTTAATGTTTGAAAGCTTTTTCAAAAACTCATCAAAGATATGTGAATTCAAATTTTCTTTCTCTAGCAAAGTTATTGCCCTATTATGACAGAAAATGTGGCACCTGAAATCAACTAGTTATAGCCATGTTACAGAGCATTATGCATTTACTGACTATGAAAATTTCCTTTTATTTAATAATAACTTCAGAATATTTTTAAGAACATAAATGTGTTTATGAAATACTTTTCCTCTAGCTTTATTTCTATGCAGTATAATCTTTAGCCTCCCATATCACAAACTGAATGCCTCTGCAAGCATTCTGAATTCTGCTGTTTGATACATTTTCTTTTTATTTACTGCAGTATTATAATAATCCTTTTAGCCTTATTACGCATCATAGTGTGTGATCCCAGACTGAATACTGGCGGCTGTAATTTAGATTCAGATTCTGCTGCCCTTTCTAAAGCTCTTGAGCTGCACCCTTGTGAGCCAAGGCATCAGCAGAATCCTTTGATTCAATTATAACTTGGCATTTAGTTATGAACTATGTATTATTCTATAAATAAACCATAACCAATGGTTTAAAGCAGAAGTCATTTACAAGGAACGTGAAATGTGAAGCTCCAGGCTACAGCTGAATCCACTAGTTCACAGACGAAGAAAAAGATCATTTCTTGTCTAGAAATTTAACACAATGACTGCTAGTTCACTACAGCTTTTTCAAATAAGAGTGTAATGCAAAAGTACAAATCAATTTTGAATTCTGTAGATACTTTATTTTACTAGACATAAAAATGTTCAAGTTGGACTTGAAACACATAACTGTGTAAAGACAGCAAACTGAAAGGTCTGTTTGATGGTGTCCACACATCGGCCTAACAACTAACTGTAATAGTTTTGACCATCCAGAATCACAGAATGGGTCAAGTTGGAAGAGGATCACAATGGGTCATCTGGTTCCACTTCCCTGCTCCAGCAGGATCATTCTGGAACACATGGGATTGTGTCCAGATAGTTCCTGAGTATCTCCAGTGAGGGAGAATCCACAACTTTTCTGGGCAGTCCGCTACGGTATTCATTCACCCACACAGTAAAGTTCCTTCTCACATTTAGGTGTAATTTTCTGTGAGAGAGTTTCTGCCATTGCCTCTTAACCTGTTGCTTGGCACCACAAAGAAGATCCTGGATCCATTCTCTGAGACCCTTTGTGCAGATATCATAGATATTGATGAGGTCCCCTCCCAGATGTCTGTCCTTGAAGTTGAACAGGCCCAGCTCCCTCAGCCTTTCCTCACAAGAGAGATGTTCCAATCCCTCACTCATCTTTGTTGCCCTCCACTGGAGGAGCCCAGAGCTGGGCACAGTGCTCCTCATGTGGCCTCACCAGGGCTGAGTAGAGGGGCAGGATCCCCTCCCTCAGCCTGCTGGCACTGTCCTTCCTAATGCCCCCAGGACACCATTGGCCTTCTCATCCCCATGGGCACACTGCTGGCTCGTGGACAGTTTGTTGTCCACCAGAACACCCAGGTCCTTCCCTGTGCAGCTGCTTTCCAGCAGGTCAATCCCAGCCTGTGGTGGTGCATGGGGTCACTCCTCCCCAGCTGCAGGACCCTGCACTTTGCTGAATTTCAGAACGTTTCTCTCTGTCATCACTCCAGCCTGCCCAGGCCCCTCTGCAGGCTGCCCAGCACTCTGGGGTATTGGCTGCAGCAGTCTCTGAAGCAGAAGGCTGCTGAGCAGGCTCAGCTCTTAGGAATCTTGAGCAGCTGCTATATGTCTTTCCAAGGAGCTTCTGTGCAAGTTCTGCTTTGCACTTTCATTGCATCCTGTTGACTGCCAAGGATTGAGTCAATAAAAGGAGAAAGATGTACAGAGGTTTCTCATTTTTAGAAATGTATTCAAATTAATCACCTTGTCTATGACCTTTTTCCTATTTACCTCTTTATGTCCTTGTATTTCCCTGTCAAGTTGCACTCTATCATAGTATCATTTGTAGAGTATATTTTGTTGTGTCTGGCATAATGAGGCTGATCCCTCATTATGGTAAGGCTTATAGCTGTCACATTAAAAATGAGCAATATCCTTTAACAGACAAAGTTTACTCAAAATCAGTGTGGCAGACAAGAGGCCAAGTTTATATTTACTGTTTTAGCACAGCACATTTAATGAAACACACAGACAATATTATTTTGTAGAGCCTAACAAATGCATATAGAGCTAACATTTGATCTATAATCCTACCCAGTTCTAAATCCAGGAGATGCATTTAACAGAGAGATTAATAATTAAGATTTATTAACATTTAATAAAACTGTAGTAATCTTGACTTGTAAGCTGAAGTAACTATACCATTTTAAAGTATTTGGT